CGCACAGGGGCTGCAGCCCCGCCGGAAACCCGCCGCTCTCGCGAGTTCAGCGGCCTCGCGGGCCTTTTCTCGCGGGCTCGAGTTTCCGGGTGGGTCGGTTGTGGAGGACGTGTTGTAGGCCTAGTTCCCGAGACGCGGAAGTGGACGGGCGCGAGCGGCGATGGCCGGGCAGCACCTCCCGGTCCCCCGGCTCGAGGGTGTTTCGCAGGAGCACTTCATGCAGCACCTCTACCCACAGGTGAGGCCCCTCGCTGGGCCGGACCGAGGGAGCCGGGGTACCGTCCCTGCCTCCCAGCTGGCTCCCAACCTGTTCCTCGCGACCCGGGGAGTGGGGAGAAGGGGCGGGCGTCATAAAGGGCAGTGGGCTCTGCGGCCCGGGGAGTGGGCGCACGGGGATGTCGCCGGCACATCCATTCCGGAGAGAACAGCTCCGCGTTTCCGGGGAGCTGCGTGCGGGAAACGTTTTGCCTAATGAGAGCTGCGCTCGCTGCGAAGAGCGGCCTTGCAGGAGCCCCGACCGGAAGCCTTCTGCCGTTACCTTGGCAACGAAGGGCGCTTTCGCTTCCACAACCACTCGGCCCGCCTTGCTGTCTTCCTTTGGGTTTCTTATATTTTAGAGGTTTCCAGGCTCCCCTGTTGGCGTGAATGGCGCCTGTCAGTCCGCTTTACGGGATTTCAAGGAGCAATTTTTCACTGTACGGAGCCAAAGGGAATCAGTGGGAATTCCCTCAGGAAACCGCCACTGCTTTTGGTCTTGGATGCTAACTAATCCGGGTTCTAGTTCAAATATTGGAATCTCATGTGTGTGATTCGAACCTTAGTTCTTTAAAAGAAAACTCAAGAGAAAAAATAATGGCTTTGTTCTCAGGAAACACACTCAAGTTTTTAGCGATAAAGGAGCATGATATCAGCAGCTTACCCTGAATAGTTCAGAGAATAATTATCTTGTTCTCTATACACAATTAGTGAGAATGAGAGCAAATGGTACAGGAAGCAGTTGGGGAATCAGAGTAGATGGTAAATGGCAGTTCTTCGAACTTTTCCATAAGTTTGAAATGGTATCAAAATAAAAAGTTACAAGCATATTTGACTATAAATACACATTTTAGTCATTTAGTCATAAGTAACACTCCTGAAAATGCTTTAAATAATATTTAGATTATCTAGATTTTTTTTTAATCTCTTAGCTATTCATGATGTCACTGTTTTGTTTGGTTTTGTTCTCCTAATGTTAAAATTTTGTTCTAAGTATATTGGATGGGTCCTTTTCCTATTTTAGTTACAGCATGAATTGTCAAAAGGTTTGAGTTTGAGCATCTTGGGATAAAGAATCATTTCTTTTTATCCCTCTATTGTCAAATACAACTCCTGATATATTGTTGGGTCCTGTTTTTATACTATTCCCCTTTGTAGAGGAAACCTGTAGTGTTGGAAGGAATTGATTTGGGGACATGCACAAGCAAATGGACGGTGGAGTACCTAAGTCAAGTTGGAGGGAGGAAAGAAGTGAAGATTCATGTTGCTGCTGTTGCCCAGATGGACTTCATTAGTAAGAACTTTGTATATAGGTATTTTCTTCTCAGGTTTACTCTCGGGATTCAAATAACTTGTTTTAAACCTTTAAGATATTTATACAAAATCCATATGGCACATCATCTTTTGGCTAGTTTGATATAATCATGGAATAGCGTACTAATTTTTAAAGAATGGCTTTTATAAGACAAAAGACAAGAATTCTGATTTCACATAATAATACAAAGACATTTCCAAACACCATTTTTTACATAGGGTGTATACCTGATGCCTTCTGGAATCACAGAAGGAACAGAGAATTGTCATAACTAGAGAGGTTACATCTGAATGCTTCGTTAATTAACTGATCCTACTAATAATTAGTAATTATTGTCCAGAGTAATAAATTCTAAAGTTTCCTTTCATGATCTATTTTGATTTTTAATGCCCTAGTTTTGGAAATTTTTCTGAATCAGATTGTTTTTTGGTAAGTATAAGCCCATTGTTTTTCTGCCCTCTCCAGAAATGTAGAGCAAGTAGTTGCTATGTTTGGTATAAGCTTTCATCAAATCAGGTAACTAAAAAAATCATACTTAATTTTCTCTTTTTAAAAAATAACCTTAATACTTTTTTTTCCCTCATGGTTGTAATTTTATGTTTTACGATCTCTTAGAAGCAAATAAGAAATCGTTAAAAGCTGCTGGATTTCTAAATTTGAAAGCTTTAAATACTGTAATCTCATAGTTTTAATATACTATTTATTCCCATGAGTTTTGTTAAAAATGTTAATTAAAAAACAAACAACTTTCACATTCTGAGCATGTGCAGTTCCCAACAAATTCAGTCTATTAAAAACATGTGTAGTTCACAATAGCCTGACTTTTAAAGGTAGTTAGCTGTTTCTTCCAGAGTAGAGATGAGTTAAAGAGCTTCTAATGTCCAGGGCCATTCCTTTCTCAGTTTTCTAAGCTCATATTACAGCTTGCCAAAGCATTTTTAATTTTTTTTTATCCTTTGAATATTCACCATTATAGTTTTGGTTTTTAATAGACCATGAATTGAATTTAATTGCCATGAGTTTTCCCAAGTCTAAGAACTTTCATTTTTTATTAAATAAAGAAAGTGGGAGAAAGTGCTGGAATGATAAGCATTTTTCAGCCTGCAGTTAATGTTTATTTTCCAGAGAGTCCAATGCCATAGCAAGTGGTTATTGAAACTTCTTGAATTGCCTTGATGTTTTGTCATGTCCTATAAGCTTTTCAAAACTTGTTTTTGAAGCACATACATTATGTAATAGTTCTTATCCCAGCTTCCTCCAAACCTTTCACTAGAGCTACTAAAAAGCTACAAGAATATTTTCTTAGTGCAAGAAAAAAATAGATTGTTTTTGGCAGTTAATTGGGAGTAGGAAAGAAGGAAGGCATCTCAGCCACAGACAGACTAGAAAGTAAGAAATTCTCATCCATTTATCAGTATTATCACTTCAATTTAATAATAATTATACAGATGAGCTAATGGAGGTTTACAAATATTAAGTAACTTACCCAAGATCATGTAGCTTGAAATGATGGAACCAGGACTTATACCAGATGTGCTTGACTCCACAGAACCCTGATCCTACCCCCTTTTTGATACTACCTCCCTTACTAGTCTATATGTTAGTCCAGACAAATGGAACTTTAGTAGCAGGTGTTTTGTGGGGTTTTTTGTGTGTTTTTTTTGAAACATGCATGAGGTAGATAAGATCTCAAGGCCAAGGAACTTGCCAGTTCATATACTTCGTATCCCCCTCTCTCAGCTTTGCTTCTGCAGAACCTCTGACAGGTACCAGTACCTAAGGGAGAAAGGTGCTGGGGCAGCCCTGTTCTACTTCTCTGGACTGAACCACTCTATCTGCCCTGTTCTTGTAAAGGTCTTGAAACACTTCTGGGTTCTCTTTAGTAACAATCTAAGCCTGGGCAACCGCACCAATTACAGAGGTGGCTTTGGGACAGAGAGGCTTCCCCATTGCTCCCAGACTCTTCAAAGATGCTTTGGTAGGAATGAAGGGTATATGCTGAGGTCAGAGATGGAAAAACTGAATAGGAGGATGATAAGTAAATTTGTTTGTAATATTAGGCAGAAACTATAGTAGAAGATTGGTCTGAGTAGATGGCAGGCTCCTTTTCCCTCACAGTGCTCATTCTACAGTACCAGCAGTGGCCTCGAGTTCAGTTGACATTCATGCTCACAGGATCCACTAGTCTATAATCTGGCATCAGATTCACTTGGATTTGCCAAAAAAAAAGCATTCTAGCAGGATAGTATCAGTAGGAGTCCTTATGCCAATCCGGGAGCCATTTTTGGCTCACCAAATATAACAGCTTTGTTGTAAGGGAGCAAGACTAT